CAGCCAGCATTCTCTACGCTTTTTCACATGGGGAAACAGAGGTCCAGAGGAGGGAGGGAACTTGTTCTAGGTCACATAGCCAGGATGGCAGAGCCAAGTCTCCAAACCTCTCTCCCAGCGTCCAGCCTCCTGTGGAGGCTATGTGAAGGGACAGCCTTGGGCTGGAATCCTGGTACTCTCACCCCTGGCCGTGCATTACTGGACAGGTCACCCACACACTCTGGCTTTCGGCTTATGTAAGTGCCTGTCGCACAGCAAGTGTCCACCTGCTTTGTTTCAGCTTGATTCTACACCCCACCAGAGCAGACATGTGTCTATCTTACCCTCCTCGGTGTCCCCAGAGCCCGGCCTGGGCGGGGACGGTGGGGGTGGGGAGGTTCAGAGGAGAATTGCTGCCTGGAGGCCCCCTTCCGCCTGGCACCCGGTCTAAAGGTCTCCCTCCCAGAGTGCCTTCCACCCTCCCAGGCCAATCTTTTCATTCTTCTCCACCCCTGGGCAGCTCTGCCTGGTGCCAACACCCCCCAGGCCCTGGGGCAGTGGCTCCCGCTCGCCCCAGTTCACCTCTTCCCCCCATCTCTCTTGGCCCCCTTTTCTCCGTCCCTGCGTCTCCCTCAGCCCCTCTGTCCTGCTGAGCCCCTGCTCTGCACTACATGCTGTGTTTACAAGACAACGATGACAGGTTTTTATTTCTCTCTTTTGTCTCCCTTCCTCCCCTGAAGGGAAACGTGCTTCCCCTCTCCCAGGAAAAAAATGAAGGTTCCAGAAGAGAAAAAGCAAACAAAGGACAGTGGGACCTGGGTGCCTCCCAGCCCCCACACCCACACCTACCCATAGGCCACGCATATCCACACAATCCTCCTCGAGTCAGGGCCTCCGAGGCCTGCTCTGTTATTTGGGGGGTAATTGAAAATGTCGGTCTTTATTCTAGAGGATAAACAGGGCCAAGGGACTGGGAGAGCAAGAGGGAGAGGGAGAGAAGAGGAAGGGAAGCCAGAGGAAGGCAGAAAGACTTAGGGAAGAGCCAGATGGGAAAGCGTGGACGCAGAGGGAGAGAAGCCGGGAGGAACAGGACCCGGCAGACTCTCTGTCTCCAGTGGAAACACAGCTTCTGACCCGCACCGGGAATCCAGGGGGACGCGCTTTCCAACAAGCTGCCCCACCCACGCCCCAGCCAAGGACCGGGAACAGGATTGCCAGGTGGCAGGGGTGCCTGTGACAGTCTTCCCGTCCTTGGGTGGCCCCTGGAGTGGGCATCCCTGCATGCTGAAGGCAGGGAGAGGGAGCTGGCTTGTCTTCGTGGGCGAGGGCTCACCACCAGATGCACCCCACCCAGAGGCAGGACCCCTGATTGGAGGGCTGACCCCCAGCTCACACCCCAACCCCTTCCTGAGCATGGAGACCCAATCTCCCCTCCCACAGCCGCCCCACCCGCTCTGCACCTGTGCATGGTGGGGGAGGGGAGCACTCTCATCCTTTACTTTACTTCTCCTGGGCAGTGGGAGGTAGACTGAGCCTAGGCAGTCGCACGCATGTGCATGAGACCAAGGGGCGCCTGGAGACAGGTGTGCATATGTGGTAAAAGGTGTGTGTCGGTATGGTGTGGTGTGTATGCGTGCGCAGCGTGTGGGCCTGTGTCTGCCTTTCCCTGTGAGTATAATATAAAGCCTGTGTTTGCGTCCAGCGTCAGGGCTGTACGTGTGAGGAGTCAGGTGTGGTGTCTGCGTGTGCATGCGTGCATGTGCACATGTGAGCACATACTATAAGGAGCATCTGCATACACGGGTAACAGACCTGTGTTTCTGCACAACCCCTACCCGTGTGCCTGTGAATGAGGTGTCAGCGTGTCTCCCAGGCAGGGCCCCTCTTGCTCCTGGCCCAGGGCCCCCATCCTCCCAGCTGCCAGGAGCCAGAGTGACAATGGCACTCAGGGTCTCTCCAGCCACAACAGAATCAGAGACCAGCAGCCCCAGCCAGTATTGAGGAGGAACATCTTGTGAGTGCAGTGTTCTTACATCCCACCCTGTGGGGATGACCGTGAAGGTCAGGCCTGCCCTGCCCCTGGAGAGAAGGGAGGGCAGCCTGCCATCCGCTGACCCTCACCCACTCCCCATTGTCAGCTCACGGTTGGAGAGAGCCGCTCTCTGAACACATGTTGGGCTTGGCGGGGCTTTCCCCATCTCTTGGATGAATAGATGAATGATCGTGTCTGTATGAATCATGTGCCAGGCTCCAGGGCCCAAGTTTAAGTCCTACAAGAATTCAGATGGGCTGGGGGGGGGGGGGCAGCGCTTGAGTGGCTCAATCAGTTAAGCACAGACTTTGGCTTAGGTCATGATCTCAAAATTGTGAGCTCGAGCCCCACTAAACCCCGCCCCGCTCCCACCCCTGGTGGGACTCTCTCTCTCTCTCTCTCTGTCCCTTGCTCACTTATGCCCCCTCTCTCTCAAAAAAGAGAGAGACAGAGACAGAGAAAGAAAAGAAAGAATTCAGACAAGGGCTTTCTGCCAGATCAAATGTGGGCCCCAAGTTGTTCAGAAGGGGTGGGGCCAGCACTCTGCCAGGCCTGAAAGGCCATGCCCACCAGCCTCTTGCAGATCAACTACCCAGTTGTCACCACAGAGGAGGCAAAGCCAAGAGATGGGGATTGCTTTATCAAAAGGTCGATCTCAAGCTAAACAACCCCGTCATTTTGTGGGCTGAGGCACAAAGGAAGTCCCATTCATCTTCCCCCGAGGCCAGAGGCCCCTTCTGGTTGAGGCCATCTCTCTGCCAAACATCTTCATCCCCCAAAGAGCCCTCCAGCCTCCACTCCTTCCCTTGGGGCCACAAACCAAGTGTTAGTTCCTGCTTTAGGGCTAATGTCCAGTCCCTACCCATATCCGGGGACAGCTGAGCCCAGCTGAGGGCCTGTCCTAGACTGAGCCCTGACTCTAGTCACAGACTGACCCAAACCTAGCCAGTCACTGAGCCCTGGCTCTGCTCACACACTGAGCCCCAGACCCTAGTCACAGAATGAGCCTAGCCCTTTACTGAGAGACAGGCCATCCATTTGCCATATGGCCGTCATTTCCCTGGCCCTGGGCCTCAGCTTCCTCATTTTTACAATGGAGGGCCTTGGAATTGCATAGGCACAAAATCAGAAAACCCCTATTCAAAGGTTGGCCTGTAGCTTCCCTGACCTGGTAACACAGGAGAGCATCAGCCACCGCCACCTGCCAGCCCCCACCCCCATCCAGTACTTGCAGCCCAAGCATCACTAATTTTTGCAGCCGCTGTGATAAATGGCATTGTCGGCAAAATGACATCTTTCTAATCTGCTGCAAGACAGATGGGTCTCCAAGCTCCCTCGCTCTCTCTCGAGCCTGCCCAGACCAGCCTTGTTGAGGAGGGGGGAGGACAAGACAGACATAATACCCCAGGCCTGGGGGGCTAGTGGGGTGCCGAGAGGGAGTTTCTGGGCCCTGCGTCAGGTAGGATCCCGGTGGGGTTTCCTACAGGCCCCTTTAAAAAAATCCCCAGTGTGGTTGCTGTGGTTTGAATTTCCCAAAGACATTCTCTGATCCTTTCTACCCAAATTTGGTTCTTCAGTTCAGTTTTCATTTTCAGTTAAAACCGGAATATTGCTCACACTCTAAAGGGTGAGCCACCCAACACTGGCTCTTCCCACTTCCCACCATTCTTGGGGGACAGCGGCTGTGGAAGAACATGCCTCTGCCTGAGCCATCAGGCCTGGGGGGGGGGGGGCATTCTGCCTCCTCTCCTCCCTCCCTGTGCCCCGCTCCCTCCAGAGTTCGGGCCTCCCTCCACATTAGCCCCAGGCTACAGAAAAGGGGTGAAATCCCCTTCTACCTCCTGGCCAGGGAGGCTGGGAGAGGGGCTAGTCCCAGAGGCGATGGCGACTCCCTACGAGAGATCTGGATATGACGAATTGAGGAAGGACAAATGCCAGCCGCAGAGACCCCAGCCTCCCCAGAGACAGAGACAGAGGCAGGAGAGCTGGCACCCATGTGCCCCGAAACAGCAAAGCTGGAAGGGACTGGGTGGGGCAGGAAGGTGGGCCGACCCGGACTCATGAGTGAGGCAACACTGCCCCCTCCTGGCTCCTCGTCTCCTCTGCCTGGCACTGCCGGGCTATGCTGTGGAGTCTGGGGACACACTAGCAGCTTCCCCAAGACCGCGTGCGGTGAACAGACCCTTCTCCCCAGCGGTCCGCTGGCCCCTTGGCCTCCTCCCAGCTGACTGCAGCCTCCAGGCTCTGCCATTCTGTCCAACCTTCTCTCGCTGCCCAAAGAATATTGGAAATGATGCATCTTATCTAGCCCAGTCTCGCCGAGGACGAAGCCAGAGTGCCCTCCAATTGCCCACGACCTGGCCTCGCTATTGGCCAGCCTGCCCAGGCCACTGCCCTCTGATCCTGTCCCAGGGTCCTGCCCGGTACGTTTCGGTCACACGTGCATGTCTTTGCTCTCATCTTTAGCGCCCCCGAGAACACCCTACCTTCTCCACGCTGTCTCCGCTTGGCCTCATGTCCCCCCGCCAGGAAAAATCCCCTCTACCTCCAGCCCCAACCAGACGACCCCTCCGTCATCCACCCTGCTCCTCTCTTGGGCACTGACCAGAATCACACAGATTTGGAGCTGGAGGGAGCCTGGACGTCCTCCAGACATCCGCTCCCCCGTCACTGCCCAAAGGGCAACGCTGAGGCCCAGCAGACAGGAGCTACATGAGGCCACACCACGCACGAGTGGCAGAGTTAGGGCTAGAACACGGTTCTCCAGCGTCGCTGCCCAGGGCTCCTGGGAGAACAGGTGACTGCCTCCCTCGTGAGCCAGAACAGAACTTCTCCCAGACGGGAACCCCCTACAGCACCTCCCCGCATCCCAGCCCCTCACCCAGGGCAGGGCCCAAAGGAAGCAGCTGTGAGTGTTTGCAAAACACAAAACTAAGTAAGTGAAAATATTTATCTAATGCCTTCTGTGCACAAGACACAGCAGGCACCAACTCTGCTACTCAAAACCTCAGTAAATGGCTCAGTTCGGTACAGAAAAATAACTTCTGTGGGGAGGGGTGGGTGAGTGCCCCAGGAGGGGCCTTAGTCGCGAATGTCGATGACCAGCGGACACAGGTGGGGCGAGTGCTTGACGCCCATGGTGAAAGCAGGCGTGCGGGGCTTGTGCACCGTGACCTTCTGGACGTCGTGGGAGCCGGGGCCCGGCCGAGGCATGTGGTCCATCGGGTAGGCACAGCGCCTGGCCAGGCTGTAGACGGGGCTGCGGTTCTGGTAGACAGAGGGTTCGGGCTGGGAGTGCGCGGCCGGCCCGGGGCCTCCTGCCACGTCCTCCTTGTAGAACCAATTCTTGTGCTCAGACGCCAGGCTATAGCAAGGAGCAGCTCGGCTGACAGGGTTACTGGGCCCCAGCAAGAGTGGCAGCTTGTACTTGTTGGGGGCAGGATTGGGGTCCATCACTCGGTATGGGCACCGGTAGCCGAAAGCATACCGGGGGGCCCTGCGCTCCCCAGGTGGGTGGGTCTTCTCTAAGTCGTAATGGCAAGAGGCCGGGGTGGGGCTCAGGCCTGAAAGTGGATAGGTGGAAGGGAGGGGTCTCAAGGCGGGAGCCAAGCCACCGTCTCTTGGTGCCCAGCGGACAGGTAAGAGGTCTTGGCTAGCCCGCCGTGACCTCAGTATAACCACTTCATCATCAGGCAGGGCCATCAGCACCCCCGCACAGGGCTATGGGAGGGGGGGGGGAGGAGGGGGAGGAGGGGACTTAGGCCATCCTGACATCAGGATTGACACGGTTGTCATAATACAAAAATCACAAATGTCATCAGAATGTCACCCTCAGGATGTCAGCGTCCTGACATCCTCCCTGCGACGGCATCAAGAAAATATCCTGAAATCATGACAGCCTGTGAGCTCATTAGCGTGACAATAGCCCTGATGCGACATGAGCCTCAGGACATTTTTATATCGTCACCTTGCGACAAACATGCATAAAATTGGCTTCAAGACTAAGTACTGTGACAGACACGGGGATATCCGTGTCTTAAGTAACATCACAGGGAGATGCCAGATCCAAAGACACACCTGGCAGAGGCCTGTCGTGACCGCCTGTCCCTGCTCAGGTCCTAAGGGTGGACCCCCCACCTCCAACCTCCCAACCCCCACGATCCTCCCCTGTCCCGTCTTACGCAGGTTAGAGATGCGCTCTTCCATAGGGACCTGTGGGCAGCTGGACATTCCAAACCGAGTTATTCTTGGATCGAAGAAATAGTGAGGCTCAGGGCTGCGAATGTCCGTGACCTCTGCAGGACAGCCAGAGAGGGGCCCCGTCAGCCCCAGAGGCTGCTCTGAGTTGAGTCTGGACTGCCCTCCAGGTGAGGCCCCCCTCCCAAACAGAAGTGAGGGCTCCCTTCCAAGTCCCTGAGTGCTTTTCCAACGCTTGATTTCCTCATCTGCAAAATGGGGCTTTCAATGCATGACCTACGAGTCTCAAGAAGTCGCTCAAAGAAACAGCTAAAATGACAGCTGCATGGCAGCTCGGTCGGCCCCGGTCGGGGATTGGCGCCAAAGGGTAATAATAGACACAGTGGCTATTGTTAGTACCAAGAAGAGACCCAGCCCCGGGCAGGGGGTTCCCCTGCTGAGGAGGACACGTCATCCCAGGGAGGGACCCAGCAGGCCTCTAGATGTCAGACTCCCAGATACACCCCTGCCTGCCCTTCCTCTCCTCGGCCTTAACCTACAAGCTCCAGCTCTTCTGTGGCTCTCTGCTCTGGCCCTCCCAGGCATTTCTAGGCCTCTCAGGAAGGCTTGGGAGCCACCACCCCATACCATTTTCTGCCACCCCCCAGCTATTCATGCCAGCTTCTGTGGCAAGGAGCCCACGGCCGCCAGAGCTGAAGGGCCCCGTCCAAGCTCAGACAGAGAGAAGACCCTACTCTGCCAGCTGGACGCTGACAGCATCCCTGCCTTCAAAGCTCCCGGGAGGTCCGGCTGCAAGCTGCCCACAGCGTTGCCTTGGGAGGCGTGGGTCACCTGGGCCCCTCCCTGCTGGCTTGCTTCTGGACCCAGCAGACCACCTGGGGGTCCTCTTCAGGGCAGGCCTGAGGTCCGAGGGTCCCATGGCTACAGATGCCAGCTCCCTGCCTCTCACTGCAGCCCCAAACATCCAGCAGTAACAACCCTAAGCCCGACGAGCAGGGATGATGGGCCGGTGAGCACTCACGCTTCTCCGAGTGCCGAGTGTGCAGGCTGTAGGCTGGCTCCTGGAACATGGAGATGTCATGGTCGATGTAGCCCGTGCAGGACGGCCGGAGGTACCTGGCAGGGCCCGGACCTGCGAAGATGGATGGGCAGCCCTCAGGCGTGGCCCACCCACCCAGCCAGGGGCAGGGAGCCGTGAGAACACCAGGGCTTTCCTCCCGCTGACATCACGCTGCCACAAACCCTACCATTGGGCTTCCTCTGGTTTTTCAGACAGTTTTTTCAGACAGTGTTTTCCAGATAAAATGCAACTGATCTTACACAGGCAATGTGTATAGAAAAGATAATAGTTACAAGGAACTGAGAAGGCATTCTGTGCCAAGCACCATGCTAAGTATTTTATATGGGTTATTTCAGCTAAGCCTCTCAACAACTCCGTAAAATGGATACTATTGTGTTTCCCATCTTACAGATGGGAAAATTGGGGCTTAGAAAAATTTGGGGAGCCCCTGGGTGTCTCAGCCAGTAAAGTGTCCAACTTGATTTTGGCTCAGGTCATGATCTCATGGTTATGAGATCGAGCCCCACATCAGGCTCCATGATGGGCATGGAATCTGATTAAGATGCCCTCTCTCTCTCTCACTGTCTCTCTCTCTTTCTCTCTCCCTCTGCCCCTCCCTGTTAAAAGAGAGAGAGAGAGAGAGAGAGAGAACAAAGGAAGGAAGGAAGGAAAGAAAGAAATATCAGTTTGCTGGGGCACCTGGGTGGCTCAGTCACTTAAGCGTCGGCTCAGGTCATAATCTCATGGTTCATGGGTTCAAGCCTGTTTCAGATTCTGTGTGTGTCTCTCTCTGCCCTCCCCTGCTCTGTCTCTGTCTCAAAAATAAACATTAAAAAAAATTTTTTTAAGAAATATCAGTTTGCTCTTGGGGCGCCTGGGTGGCTTAGTCGGTTAAGCGTCCGACTTTCGCTTAGGTCATGATCTCGCGGTTCGTGGGTTCGAGCCCCGCGTCGGGCTCTGTGCTGACTGCCGGCTCAGAGCCTGGAGCCTGTTTCAGTCTGTGACTCCCTCTCTCTCTGACCCTCCCCTGCTCACACTGTCTCTCTCTCTCTTTCTCCTAGAAATGAATAAAACATTTAAAAAATTTAAAAAAAAAAAAAGAAATATCAGTTTGCTCAAAGTCACACAAGCTGGTAATGTGAAAATTCTGAGACAGTCAGCCAACCATTTAATCACCTACTAACCCAAACATTTAATCACATCCTAAACCACCTTCCACATGGAGCAACAATCAGTCATTAACAATGTAGTAAGAATTAGGTTGTCTGCTTTCCTTGAGAATAAGATTCAAGGGAAGTGAGGAAAGCGAAGGGTGGGCTAAAAGCTCCATTGAATCCCTAGCTTTTTTCCAAAATTGGCCTCATTTCATACCCCATGCTCCCTCCCATCCCTACCCATCCTCCAAAATTCCCAGCAGCTAAGACTGCATCTGAGGTTCAGCTTGAAGGTACAGGTCTTCTGTAGGCTTGGAGGAGAGTCCTCTAGAACTTTGCAGGAGGCAGGGCTGGAAGGCTGGGGCACCTTCAGCAGCCCTGCAGAGAGAGGAATCAACCCAGGCTCAGGGCAGGGGCCTGCTCTCACCTTTGATCATTGCCATGATCACAGGGGTCTGCTTTACCTCCTGCCATGAGGGCACCTGAACTTTCTCCTCTGGCTGCTGCCCATAGAACACAGAGTTCTTGGCCCCCTTGGCCAGCCTCATGGCTAAGGTCAAGGAGGGGGCAACAGCAGCCTCTGAGATATCCAAGCAGTAGGCAAGGAGCTGGAGCTGTGAGGGGCCTGTTCAGAGGTGCCTGCCCAAGCCCCTGCATCCACTCTGTCCCTCTCTCCAGAGGCTGCGTGGGGGTTGGGAAGGAAGTCGATCCTCTGGCTTGAGCAGCTGCGGCTGTCTGGGCTGCAGCCAGCCACAGGACCTAGCAGGCTGGAGCTAGGGATGACATCATCGCAGAACTTGGACTGTGAGACCCAGAGTGTTTATTTCCCCCAGTTGCCGTGGCAGCTCAGCTATAGAACCCTGAAAACTAGGCCCCAATGCCCCCTACTCCCAACCAAGTTAAATAGTCTGTGGGTCCCCAGAACCCTGGGTCAGGTTAGAAAAAGGGAGAAGTGGAGTGACAGAGCCCACTCTTCACTCCTGATGGGTTGGGTGCCTTGAAGTTGGAGAAAGAAATGAAAGTGTAGGTGGGTCCTGGAGGGAAGGTTCCCACAGCCTGGACAATCCCTGGGGTGGCCTTCTATCCCCTGCCCCTCTCACTTATGCCCCCAGGTTCTGGACATGACCTCCCTTCTCTCTGTTTTTCCTTGGAAAAAGATCAAAGCAGTTATTTCACACTAAGGTGTGACTGTCTGCTAGCTTCCTGGACTTCTACCCCAGGGCAGCGTCTTTAGAGAGCCACATCACATCTAGCTCAAGGAAGGCTTACCTGCTGCTGGCATTTCAGGCAGTGAGCAGGAAGCAAATAAGGAGGATGGGGGGAGGGACACCAAGGCTTGAAAAGCCACTCCTTGTGCCTAGTAGAGAATGCTCCCCCTAGTAGGGGTAGTGTGAGAGGAAACACCGAGGGGTACAGAAGACACCCAAATGCCAAATGATTGACGGATGAGCCCCAGGGCTGAGGAAGTGTTGGCAACACCTTCCCCCCTAAAAACTCCGGTTTTAGGGCCCCAGGGCCTGCTTGCACCCACCAGTTCATAGCTGCTCAGACGGGATTTGATCTGGGCCATCTCTGGAACAGGTGACTGCAGGCTTTAGAGAGGGTGTCTGTCACAGCCCCAGGACACAAATAAAGAAAGCAGAGGCCCCAAAAGGGGCAAGGACTCACCCAAAGTCTCCCATTACAGCAGTCGAAGAGCCAGAACCAGGACACAAACCCAGGGCTCTCTTTGGCTCACAGCCTCTGATCTAATGGAAACCAAACCACTCTCTGAGCTCATCCCCACCAGCCGACGCAATGAGGACTCGGGGCCAGGCATGCTGGCACTCAAGAAGCCCTTGTGGGATGGAACAGCTCAAAACAGAGGGCAGGGCCCTCCTCCAGTGGTAGCACACCCTCCCTGTGTCCCTCACATGCAGCCAAGCCTCTGATTTCTGGACAGAGAGGGCCGGGCAGGGCTGGGATTGGCCTCAGGCCACGGGCAGTGCTGCCTCCTTACCCCCATCACCGTCAGCCTTTCCTGGAGGCGGCTGTGCGCCCCAAGCCCTGCCAGACCCCTCATGCTAATGTGGGGCTGGGCCCTCCACCTTCCTGGTCCGGGGAGGCGGGCAGGGTGGAGTCTCCAAGTATCTCAGACCCAGGGAGCCCTCCTACCACACCCCTGCCCTGCTCCTGTCTGTCACTCATATGCATGGCTCTCTCTTGGGGCGACCTAGCCGCTATACTCCAGCCAATCACAAGCCACCCCACTTCTGCTCCAAACGCTGCCTTCCCTGCAGCTTTAACAAGACCTAGCTCGCCCTCGGAGATAGCCCTTGGTCCTCTCCGAAGCTGCTGTCCTGTCTCTCACACCCCCGTCCCCCAGAGTCCAAGGTGGAGTGCATCTCCGGCCTCCTTGGCACTCACCCGGCAGTGTCCCCCTCCCCGTCCAAAGTACCACTCCTCGAGGGTTCCAGCATCCAGGGTGCCCCCCTCAGTTCCTTGGGGCCCTGGCTCATGACCTTCTTCCCCAACCACCCGACCCCTGCCATCACCCCAGGTGACGGGCTGCCCGGGGACCACCAATCCCATGGCCTCTAGGTTCCCAGACCCTCTTCTCTCCAAACACCTCCCCTCCACTGCCTCACAGCCCCCTCTCCCCAGCACATGCCCAGATTCCCACCACGGCCCGGGGCGCTGACCATCCGCCTCCCTTCGGACGCGCACCGGCCTACACCTGTGCCTTCTGCTGCTGTGGCTTCCGAACTCTGGACTGGCCTCCACGCCACCCAGTGCCCATCTCCACACCGACTGGCTTGCTCTCTCCTTCTTCCCAGACGTCGCTTCAAACGTGGTTCATTCCTCTCTACATGCCCAGCCCTCCTTCCAGCCCCTTGCTCCATATCCTTCTCAGCAGAGGAAACAAGCCATCGGACCGGACTCTGACCCAAACCCTCCCTACCGTGCCGTTGGGGCCACCGGCTCCTGCTGCCTACTGCCCCCATTCCCTCCCGGCGCTCAGGAGGGCTCATCGAGACCTTCTTCCATTCCTTCCACCTAATCAAAGACATCGAAGCCCTCATCGGGCCCCTTCCTATCACACATACCCTTCCATCTGTTAGAAACCATTGCCCTGACCCCACACACCTCTCCTTCACTGCCTGTAATCCCTCTCCCCCTCACTCACCCCCCGTCCAGACAAACTTTCCCTAAGAAGGATTTCCCCTGTGGTCTCCATTGTCGCCTCCTTTCACTCCTCATCTCTGCAGGCCGTCACTCCACCTCAACTGTGACCTGCGGGGGAACCTGCAGCCAATGGACACTTCTCACCCTCCCCAGATTGGCCTCCGGACGGAATGACCAACCACTCCCTCCCTTCCCGCAGCCCGCCAAGTCCCCACCGCCCCTTCGTAAGCCTTCTTCCTGGCTCCTCCTCCTCAATCTGACCTTTCCATGTTGGCATATATTTATTAATTGCAAAGGGAAAAACAGTAACTTTACAGGGAGAATCCTGGCAGGCACCGCCTCAACCACATAATGTGAATTAACATCATCAACAGTGGGACACATAAATGTCATGCACCTCCTGGCAGGAGGCACTGAGAGCACAGCACCTCTTCTGTGGTGCTCCCACCACAGATGCAGGATCTGAGCCCAATTATGAAGAAACCAGATAAATCAAGATTTCACTTTGCAAAAATGGCAATGTCGTGAAAGACAAAGAAACACCAAAGCAAAAAACTTTTCCAGATTAATAGAAACTCAAGAGGTAGGACATCAAGGGGCACCTGGATGGCTCAGTCGGGTAAGTGTCCAACTCTTGGTTTCGGCTCAGGTCATGATGTCATGGTTCATGAGTTCAGGTCCTGCGTGGGGCTCCAATCTGGCAGTACGGAGCCTGCTCAGAATTCTCTCTCTCTCCCTCTCTCTCCGCCCCTCTGCCACTCGCTCTCAAAATAAATAAAGAAAATTTAAAAAAGAAAAAAAGAGGTAGGACACCGAAAGGCAATGCAGCAGCCAGGATTCTCTTTTGCTATCAAGGATATTTCTGGGGAAATTGGCAAAACTGCACAAAGGTCTGTGGCTAATTAAGAACATTGTACTAATGTTAATTCCTGATTCTGATCAGGGCTGTCTGGTTGTGAAAGGAAGGCCCTTGTTCTTAGGAAACAGCCACTGAAGTATGTAAGGATGAAGGCGCATCGTGTCTGCAACTTACTCCCCAACAACTCAGGAAAAAATACGTATATACATAGAAAAGAATTTAATATCTGGTAAAATATTAATGTTCAGTAAATCTTGTGAAGAGTATGTGGGAAATACCTGTCATGGTCTTGCTGCTTTTCTGCAACTGTGAAATTATGTCCAAAAGGTTAAAAGAAGAACTATTTGTGTCTCAGAGTTCAGTCCCGAGCCTCCCTGTCATTTCAGCCCACCCTTTCGTCGCTTCAGTCTCATTTCCTGTCCTCCAACAATCCCCAAACAGACGTGCCTCTGGCTCAGGCCCGCACGGGAGCTTTAACCCCACATATCCAACAGCCTATACAGTGTCACTGGGCACCTCAAAATCAACATGCCCAGGGGCGCCTGGGTGGCTCGGTTGGTTAAGTGTCCAACTCTTGATTTCAGCTCAGGTCATGATCTCACGGTTCTTGAGATCAATCTGAGCGCACAGAGTCTGCTTTCCCCCTTCCCCACTCTCTCTCAAAATAAATAAACAATTTTTGAAAGAAATATTTGTTGAATGAATGAATGAGTTGATCCATTGATTGATCGAGGCAACGTTCCTCCTCATGGGAGCAGAGTCCCAGCCCCATGCCCAGCCTGGCTCACTGGACTGCTATGTATACTTGTATGGGTCTGTATCAGTTATCTGCTGCTGCATAACAAATTGTCCTCAAAACCTCACAGCCTAAGATAGCAATAAACATTTACCATTACATATAGTTTCTGTGGGTCAGGAGTTTAGAAGTGGCTTAGCTGGATGGTCCTGGCTCCAGGTGTCTCAAGAGACAGGAATCAAGATGTCCGTAAGGGCTGCAGTCATCTGAAGGTTTGATTGGTTCTGGCAGACCCACTTCCAAGATGGCTCCCTCACATGAGCCGTGAACTGCTGCTGGCTATTGGCCAAAGACCTCGGCTCCTCTCCACGTGGGCCCCCAACAGACCCCTCAGGTTATAGTGGCTGGCGTTCAGACCAAGCAGTCAGAAGAGAGCAAGGCAGAAGCTGCCACAGCTTTTATGACCTCACCTTGGAAGTGGTCTCACCGGTCAGCCCTATTCCGTGTGGGAGGTGGCTAAATGAGCATGCGAATGCCAGACGGTGGGGACTCCGGAGGGCCATGTTGGAGGCTGGCCACCACAGGGTTTCACTGTACCTGGAGAACAAGCCAATGGGGCCAGTGGGAGCTGAACCCAAGCTACATGGTCTCGTGTAGAGCGGCATACTCACTGAGCCCCACCCAGGCTGAAGACAGCCCTGCCAGCTTGCCCTGGCTGCCTCTTGGCTGTCTGTCTTGCCCTCCCGTCAAGGGACTCCTGGGAGCCACATGGAGAGCAGGACCCTGGCATCCACAATTGCCATCATCGTGACCACCAGGCAGTACCCTTAGCAGTTTATAAAGCGCCAGCCACTCTGCTGGAAAACATGGCGCAAGCACCATGGTGGTTCTTCCCATGGCTCGTCTACAATGTGCGGATGAGCAAAGAGGTGCAGAGACGTGAAGTGACTCGCCTGAGGCCACACAGAAAAGGCTTGGCAGAACCGGACCCCTGGCTCCTGACCTGACATTCTTTCCA